ACACCAAGAAAAGGGGTAAAGAGTGGTTTGTGTTAGGAAGGGTTAGTGTTTGTGGTGGTGAAGTGAAGTGTGAAAAGAAATCCAGGCAACTCAATTCTGAGTGTTTGTAAAGTAAAATCTATCAGATTAATAAAGTAGTTTAGTCCTTACAGACCAAACATCACATTTTACAAAATCCATGAAATCTGATGGTGATTTGTTAACAGTCAACCCTAAAGAGGGTGGTATAATGAAACACGAAAAGTATACCAGAAAAATACACGTATCTTTTTAATGGTGCTCTTCAAGGAGTCTGCTTTGTGACCTATCCAGCTTCTCCCAGTTCCAGTCTCAGGTCTATTGGAGCACCTTAAGACATCCAGTAGGAAGGAGGCAGGCCTGGATTAGCTACTCTTTAGCCACGACCTCATCAGAATGTAGCATCATGTTTCAGCCGCCGGTCCATTAGATTGAGATGAGAGAGAGAGAAAACAAAAAATCAAGTTCCCTGAATTCTTGCATGTGGAATTTTGTTATGAAAAATTAAATCCAACAGAACCTCAAGCCTACTGAGCACTTAAAGTCTCTTAAACCAGGATTTATCTTTACTATACAGCAACTGACCATAATAAGGATTATCATTTAGTACAAACCTTAAGACACATAGTGTCAAGAACTCATCAGGATGCAGCCATGTCCAGTTCCACTGTCTGATGTCTATTGGATTAAAAAAAAAAGTAATCAAAGTGTAACCAACAATGACTCAAATATACCAGAGAAGGTAATACTGGTGTTTAATTGACTGCTATTGCCACATTCAATAAACAACCCCACCAAAATCAGGACTACTGGAAAAAAAACAAACAAACTTATCTTTATAATGGTGCTCTCTGACACAGTCCAGTCAACATCTGCCAGAGGAAAAGAGGGAGAAAAAACAAAACTAAATGGAGCAGCCATTAGCATCAGTACCAGAGGTCTACATTAGTCCCTTTAAATTATGGTATTCAACTCACAGAATTTGAAAATACTTAGTTAGTAAATATTAACTTAATCTTTACTAAGTCTTGGGATGTCTCTTTGCCAAGTACATTTTCTATTAAAGACCCTAAACGCGCAATCTAATCTGTGTCCCTACCAGATTACAGAAGTATAATTCATTTTTGTAAACTTGCCCTTGCATGTAAACGGTAAAACACAATTTAACAGAGAACAAATTACAAAATTCCTCTGCTGGGAGGCCTCCCAAACGTCATCTAAAAGCCACAGAAGGGCAGACAAGTCTTTACTAGGAAATGGACTTGGCAGAGGGAGACAAGCCAGATCTAAAATTCAAAATTTTTTCATGACATTTCAAACTATTCAACACCAAAAACTGTCAGTTGGACAGAATTGGTGAAGTTAACTTGTCATGTAAAGATTGTTTTAAACATCTGTGAGCTGAATGTCATTCAAATTTAAGAAATTACAACTATAGAGCATATTACAATGATTAAAAAGGCACATTTGTATACAACCAATGTAGATTTATTTAAATGAACCCCAACACCCTCAAATGACAATATGTTCAACATGATGAAAATTAACATCTAATCTGTTTACCACAAACAAGCAGCTAACGATAAAAAACAAAAAATACACAACCCTGGCAGGGATCAGGATGGGGTCTCCTGTCAGCTCTGATGGGTCTGGGTCCTTGGGGGCCAGGACCTAAACATAAATGAGTCAAGTAAGTTTTCTACACAACAAAGTGACTATAACAGATTAAAATTTAGCACAAACAGAGACAGAGAGAGAGAGAGAGGGAGGGAGGGAGGGAGAGGGAGAGAGAGAGAGAGAGAGAGAGAGAGGGGGAGAGAGAGAGAGAGAGAGAGAGAGAGAGAGAGGGAGAGAGAGAGAGAGAGAAAGAGAGAGAGAAAGAGAGAGAGAAATCATTTTCCCTGAATTCTTGAATGTGCAATTTTATAATGAAAAATTAAATCCAAGCCTACTGAGCACTTCAGGTCTCTTAAACCAGGATTTCATTTCTCTATACAACTGACCATAAAAAGGATTCTCATTTAGTACAAACCTTAAGACGCTCAGTAGGAAGAATGCAGGCCTGGATTACCTCCTCTTTAGCCACGACCTCACCACAATGTAGTGTCACGTTTCAGCCGCAGGTCCATTGGATTAAGAGAGAGGGGGAAAATAAAAAAAAACAATCAAGTTCCCTGATTTCTTGAAATAAAAAAAAACAAAAAACAATCAAGTTCCCTGATTTCTTTAATGTGGAATTTTAAACACTGATGCTGTACTTTAAACACAAAGATCGAAAAACATGACTCAAACAGTGAACACATTCTCCAAACACGTGGGTCGGCATTTTTAAATTTGTTTTACCAGAGACAAACATCAATGAATTAAAATTGTCGTCCGGCCTAAGTGAAGGCTAAGCAACTTCACAAAAAAGAATACATTTAATCAGAACGCCAACAATAAAGAACGACAATCCAAAAATCTCTCACCTTTCTGTCTCAACCTCCACCCGAACCAGGTCGAGCTGCTATTAGGGAAAAAAATCCGTTCACCTGTGGCTTTTTAACCACGTTGCAACCCTTTTCCGCGTCTGACATTTTTTCCGGTTCTGGTGTGTCTATGTGACGTTAATTCGGAAGCCACCGTGATTGCCTGGAGCTCCCGCAGAATTTTAAATTACTTTTACCACAGACAAACATCAATGAATTAAAATTGTCGTCCGGCCTAAGTGAAGGCTAAGCTACTTCACAAAAAACAATACATTGAATCAGAACGCCAACAATAAAGAAGAAAAATCCAAAAATCTCTCAGCTTTCTGTCTCAACCTCCACCCGAACCAGGTCGAGCTGCTAATAAGGAAAAACTCCGTTCACCTGTGTCTTTTTAACCACGTGGCAACCCTTTTCCGCGTCTGACTTTTTTTCCGGTTCTGGTGTGTCTATGTGACGTAAATTCGGAAGCCAGCGTGATTGGCTGGAGCTCCCGCAGGATTTTAAATTAGTTTTACCACAGACAAACATCAATGAATTAAAATTGTCGTCCGGCCTAAGTGAAGGCTAAGCTACTTCGCAAAAAACAATACATTGAATCAGAACGCCAACAATAAAGAACGACAATCCAAAAATCTCTCACCTTTCTGTCTCAACCTCCACCCGAACCAGGTCGAGCTGCTATTAGGGAAAAAAATCCGTTCACCTGTGGCTTTTTAATCACGTGGCAACCCTTTTCCGCGTCTGACGTTTTTTCCGGTTCCGGTGTGTCTATGTGACGTAAATTCGGAAGCCAGCGTGATTGGCTGGAGCTCCCGCAGGATTCGCAGTGGTTTGTTATACTTTGTGCTGGTGTTTTTAGTGAAGGGCAGATCAAGAAGAGAATTAGTCAAACGTATAGCTTGAAATGCTTTATAACCAATAAAAACATTTTCCTATGAAGTGCAGTGAATTCAAGGGGGCAGTGGTGGCCTAGTGGTAAAAGGAAGCGGACTTCGGTCCGGAAGGCCCCAGGTTCGAATCCACCAACTGCCAGGTTACCACTCGAACCTGCTGTGCTGTGTCACAATGACAAATAAAGATAAGTTTAGTTTAAGTTTAAAAAAAATATGTTCAGTGTTCAACAATTAACTTTTAAAATATAAACTAAATAAAATGAAATCTTAATGTTTGAGCATAATTACAGGAACACTCTTTGAACCTGTTTACTCAAAGATAAAAAGGCAGAACAAAAAAACAATAAAAACACTTATTTACTCATTAATATGAAAAAAGAAAATGCAAAACATTACATCTTCCCTAGTGGCTCTTTGGCCCTGAGGCAATGTCTCTGTCATCGGTGTGGAAGCCCAGGGTTCACCTCCTGGGCATGATCGAATCCTGGTTATGGTGGTTGGTACTTTCCAGTGGACTTACCACCTGCATGAAGGTTTAGTGGGGTTGGTACGCTATATTTCTTTGGTCTTGCCAAATGTTATCCAGGGATCTGTTCAGTTGACATTGGCCATTGCTAAATCTGTTTACTGACCAACCCCTTACGTGGGTGGCTCCCCCCTTGGGCCAGGGCATTTCTTGCTTGTGTCCAGTGGGGGGCTTGTACCCTGGCCCACATTTTCATGGTCTATGT